CCATTCCAATGGCTGAGCACCCTCTCTGCAAAGAAATTCTTCCTAATATCCAACCTAAACCTCCCCTGGCACAGCTTGAGGCCGTTCCCTCTCCTCGTGTCCCTCATTCCCTTAAAAATGATGTATAAACCATTTTCCCTTGGTTTTTCCCAGCCTACGAGCTGCAGGAGTGCCCTGACCCGGAGCCTTTTGCCAACGGGGTGGTGAGAGGGGCCGGGTACAACGTTGGCCAGTCCATCTCCTTCGAGTGCCTCCCTGGCTTCCACCTGATCGGCCACCCCGTGCTGACCTGCCAGCACGGCACCAACAGGAACTGGGACCACCCCCTGCCCCGCTGTGAAGGTACGGCCTGGGGGGCACCCACGTGGGTGTCCCTGGGCACTGGAAAGGTCCCAGCTCTGTACTGGCCTCCTGTGAGTCCCCGTGGGGTCACTGGGCTGGAAGTGACACTGCAGAGCAAAGCGTGGCTGGAGGAGGGCTGGGAATCATAGAATCAGAGAATCAGCTGGGTTGGAAGGGACCTCCGAGATCATCCAGTCCAACCCTTGATCCAACCCCGCTGTGGTTCCCAGCCCATGGCACTGATGCCACATCCAGTCTGATCTTAAAAACCTCCAGGGATGGAGAATCCACCCCTTCCCTGGGCAGCCCATTCCAATGGCTGAGCACCCTCTCTGCAAAGAAATTCTTCCTAATCTCCAACCTAAACCTCCCCTGGCACAGCTGAAGACTGAGCCCTCTTGTCTTGCTGATGGTTGCCTGGGAAAAGAGACCAACCCCCCCTGGCTCCCCCCTCCTGTCAGGGAGTTGCAGAGAGTGAGGAGGTCTCCCCTGAGCCTCCTCTTCTCCAGGCTGAACAGCCCCAGCTCCCTCAGCCTCTCCTCATAGGACTTGTGCTCCAGTCCCTTCCCCAGCCTCGTTGCTCTCCTCTGGCCCTGCTCCAGCCCCTCAATGTCCTTCCTGAGCTGAGGGCCCAGAACTGGACACAGCACTCCAGGGGTGGCCTCACCAGTGCTGAGTCCAGGGCAAGAATCACTTCCCTGGACCTGTTGGCCACACTGTTCCTGATCCAGGCCAGGATCCATTGGCCTTCTTGTGCTCTTGGGGTCAAACCTCCCCCCCTGAGGTGCTGGAGCGTGTTCTGCCTGAGCTGGTGGTCAGCCTGGTCCAGCACAAAGCGAATATTTTGGGCGGTTCAGAACCAGGGAGCAACTTTTGGGCAGGGGTTGAGTCTCGTGGTGTGGGTGAGGAGAGTCTCCAGCTCTCTCCTCACTGCTGGGGCCACTGGGAGCTGCATTTCAGAGAGACACAGTCCAGGGCCCCTGTAGGAATAATTACATTTTGCTTTATTTCTTCAACAACGTTGAGCTTCTCTTGATTTAGCACTGAGAAATCCACTTAGTCCCTGGGCAGAGATCCTTGCAGCTCTGGCACTCTCAGTTGGGAAGCTGGTGTCCCTGCCCTGCTCTCCTTAGTGTGGCATCTCCAAAATGACCCAGATGGGAGATCTTCAGGAACTTTCCCTGCTCTCCTTTCTGCAGACCAGTGTGCCAGGAGGCCCCTGCAGGCTGAGGGAGTGCAGATCTGTATTCCAGGCATCAAAACTCCAGTGTCCAAATTCTCTCCCCCCCCCCTCCCCAGCGTGGCCTGAGTTCTGTGTGATTGACTTCAGAAGCTTTGCAGGTGAACCTTTGAGAAGTTCAGCTCTGCTTATTGAAGATTTCCCCCCACCTTTCCCAGGAGCACTGACCTTTCTCCCAGCCTCTTACAGCCCTTGGTCTGCAGGAAGTGCAGGGAGGGGGAGAGAGAGGTGATATTTTCCCTCTTTTAAGTCCTTGAACCCCAGAGAACACAGAGCACAAAGAACCAAATCCTCAGCTGCTCTTTCCGAGTCCAGCAACGTGTCAGTGGGAGCCTGTCCTGTGCCCAGGGGGTGCTGGGAGCAGGATTGTGCCCTCACCTACCTCAGGCATCAGCTCTGCCAGCTGCAGCCCTCCCTGTTATTGTGTTTTTAAGTAGTTTGCTGGCTCTGCAGCACTTTGAGAGCAGAGAGGTGAGGGTGAGGGACGTTTTGGCCCATTTGCTGCTGCTCTCTGTGCACATCTGCTGGGCTCTTCCTGCTGGTAAAGCAATACAGAACTTGCCTTTTCTTGCTCTCTTTCCCTTAAATGGTCCATTTTTTGCATAGCAGCAGGCAGGGAGGATGTGCTGCCTTAGGCAAAGCACCTCACCTTTTCCCCTGGCAGGTCAGTGCTGAAAGGTCTTTTAATTAAAAGAGAAGCTGTTAATTCCGAAATAAAAGGCACAGAGGTTTTTCCAGCACTGCTCCAGGGAGGTTTTGCAGGGATCAGCAGCCTTCCTGCTGCTCTGCAGGGCAGGAGGGAACTTGGCCCCTAAGGCTTCCTGGGTGTGTGTTTGAGAAAATGAGCGTGGGGAGTTCTATAAATACACGTGGGGAGAGCAGGGCCAGGCAGGGAACACGTGGAGTTTGGCTCTCAGCTGGCTCAGGGAGGTCTGGGGAGCTGCTCCTGCATGGAAAGCAGAGGGTGTTGCTCTGTGTGAGACCCTGAGCCTGGATCCATGAACTGTGTGGGGAGAGAGAACCGTGGAATCCTTGAGGGTGGAGAAGACCTTTGAAGGTCACTAAAGTCCCACCATCAACCCAGCACCACGTTCACCACTAAACCAGGTCCTCAGGAGCCACATCCCGTGATTTTTGAACGTTTCCAAGGGTGGTGACTCCAGCAGTGCCCTGGGCAGCCTGTTCCCATGCCAGGATTGGGTCAATGCAGCTCCTTGGCCTTGGGGCAGAGCTGGCTCAGGCAGGGGACACTGAGCTGTGCCAGTGCCTGCAGGAGGCCAGGAGCACCTGCAGATGCTGTCAGCATTCCCATTTCCATGCCAGGGCAGTGCAGAGGCTGCTGCTTGTACCTGAGCCACCCAGAGCTGTGTCCCTGCAGCAGGAGGTCACCCTCCTGTGCCCCCAGGGCCCTGCCCAGGCTGTCTCCAGTTGCCTCTCTTTAGTTTGTGAGTCCATTTGGAGCTGGAGGGCTCCTGGTGCAGTGGAACTGTCCTGGTGATTAATGGCTTGGACTCTGCTGCCACACAAATCCTCATTTCCCCCCTGCTGGCCCAGCCCCTGCTGCAGGAACAAGGGCATGGATTTGCCCACTGGTGTGATCCCAGCAGGAGCTCTGTTTTCCGTGCAGACAGCTGGTGGAGCCCAGGGACTCTTAGCAGGGCATGAGAGACAATTTGTTTGCACACCTGGCTGTCACATCTGGACAAAACGCCCTGGCAGGCTCCTCTCAGCTCTGGAGCACTTCATAAATTCACTGTAATGGGATGAAGTTAAAAAGGTTTGACGTGCTCGTGGCAGGTGGAGATTGTTTGAGGCGAGTCAGGCCAAGATCTGGGTCCTCCTGCATCCAGAATTGGCATCTTGTTATGATAAAAAAGGAAAGAAAAATGGGCAATAGGGGATTTTTAAGAGTTATGTTCGGGGGGGTATTTCTTCATCAGGTTTGTGTTTCTCTCTGATTCCCTGCAGTGCCTTGTGGGGGGAATGTCACCACCCAGAATGGGACAGTTTACTCCCCTGGCTTCCCCAACCAGTACCCCAATTCCCAGGACTGCACTTGGCTCCTCACGGTGCCCGTGGGATATGGGATCCACCTCAACTTCACCCTGCTGCAGACAGAGCCCTACAACGACTTCATCACTGTGTGGTGGGTACAGCCCAGCTTTGGGGGGCTCCATCTGGGAAAGGTGCCCTTGGCTTTTCCATGGGAACTGGGATCTCTGCTGGAGATGGGCTCAGCTCTGCTGCAGTGACACTGCTTTCTTTACCCTGGGGGCTTTCCAGGCTGGGAGCTTCCTTTTCTACTTGTAGGAGGGAAGAGAAATCATTATTTTTGCATTATTTCTTTTAATAGAAATAGATAGAAATATTATTTATGCACAGTGCTGTGCATTATCAGCTTCAGGCAGCCAAGGGAGCACATGTAGCTGCTCTGCTTAAAGAGCTTGGGGCCGAATTCTTGGGCTTGTAGCACTCAATAAATGATCTTCAGAATATCCCAGTGCCTGCTCTGCAAACAGGGAGTGACATTCCTTTGGAAAACCAGTCCTAGCTCTTCAGCTTCTGAGGTTAAAAGTGAAGTTTGTGGTTGTAGTTGTCCACTGGGTGAGCACTGTGAGCCAGAAGAGATGATTCTGGTTCTCCTGGGGCAGGGAGAGGGACTGGGGGGTCCAAGTCACTGCCCAGGGAGCTGCTGGGAAATGAAAAACAGATCTGGGAAAGGGAGGACGAGGAAGGAAGAGCAGGGAGGAGTGGAGGAGGAGGAGGGTTGTTTTCTGAGGTTAAAAACATGTACTAATGCTCTTCTCTCGTGTTTCTGCCATCAGGGATGGAGCCCAGCAAACAGCCCCCCAGCTGGGTGTGTTCACTGGCAACTCTGCCAAGAAATCAGCCCAGAGCTCCTCCAACCAGGTCCTGCTGAAGTTCCACAGCGATGCAGCCAACGGGGGCATCTTTGCCATTTATTTCTATGGTGTGTATGGCTCTGTCCTGGGGGGTGGGGGGGACATGGAGCAGCTGGGAGGCAGGAATAGTGCTGGGAAAGATGGGAACAAACACTCTTGTTAACCTGGAGCCTTCCCCAAAGGAGCAGTTTTCCAGGTCTCTTATGCTGCCTGTCAATCCCATCCTCTCCCTGGCACATCCCTCATGGACAGCCCTGCTTGGTTTGCTTAAAACTCCCCTCCCCTGCAGTTTGTGGATGCAGGATTCCCTTTTCCAGTGCTCTGCTAAACCAGCTGGATCATCCTGGGGGCCTGTTTGAAATGATCCAGCAGAGACACAACTTCATTCCTCTGGGGAGGAGAAGGATTCCTGTAAATCCCTGGATTACTCAGGGATTCTTTGGTGTGAGGGCAGCAAAATCTTGGGTATTACATTAAATGAGAGCATTTGCTTGGTGGCACTAAACAAGAGCCTGACTCGAAATCGGATTAGCTGACAAGTTCCTGCAGCAAGTGCTGGGGTTTGGGGAAGTGCAAATGGAGAACTTGCTCTTGCTTCAGGAATGTGAATTCCATGAATCCCGTGCTGAGCCCCTGCAGAAGGGCTGGAGCTCAGCTCTGAGAGGTGGGTGTTCCAGGGACAGGCTGAATTTAAGGGATTGCTGAGCTCCAGAAGGAGTTGATTCCCTGCTGCTCTAAGACTGACATTCCCAAACAATGGAAGAGCTCTGCAGGAAAGGATGGTTTGGGCAGTTTGGCTCAGGAAGGAGCAGGGGGTGGCCAGTGCTGCATTCCCACCATTTGCTGTGGGAATGGGAGCCCCTCACTGCTGTGGGCAGAGCCCCTCAGCCATGGGGCCATTCCCTAATAATAATAATAATAATAATAATAATAATAATAATAATAATAATA